GGACGGTGCGGAGCGGGGCCCTGCCCGCCACGCCGTGTGGCCGCATCAGGTGCGGGCTGCTCCGGCCGTTGGAGGGGCCGCGCCGTCCCGCTGAGCCTCCGGTAAGCGGGCGCGTTGGCTCCGGTCGCTGAGTTGGTTGCGGGTGGCAGGCGCTCAGTTAGGCGGTCGGGGCTGGACCTGCCGGCGCTTCCCTACGTGCTATTCCTGCCTGCTCAGTCTGGCTTCTGCTACAGCGCGCCTTTGCCTTGGTAAGTTGCTGGAGCCCATCTCGAGCTGCTTCAGCGCCTGTGTCAGGTGGTGGGACTTTTTTTCCCTTTCCTTTAAAGGCCCTAAATTTCAACATTTTCATCTGTGACTTCGTCTCCTTCTGTATTCGTGCATTTTACACTCCTTCCTCTTCCCTTGATGCTTTCTTTCTGTTCCTTACTCTTTTTCTTCCCTCTCCACCTAACCCATCCACAGCTTGTGTGTTCTCCTTGGTTTTCAATTTGGGAAACTAAATGTTAGGCTACTCCCCGTGAGTTCGAATTTCTTCTGTCGTATTAATTTTCCTGATAAGTGCTTTATTTGCTGTTGTTTTTATCAGAAATAAAGGAGAGAGCAGTGGGTGAAAATGATTATGTAGTAGTGGAACTATCCAGGTGTCAACCTGTTTTACTTTTGTTTTTCATACATACTCTCTGGGTGCATGTGACTTGTGTGTATCTGATTCAATGAGTTTTAGTTCATATTCTCAAGCTCTATGCTTGGTATTTTGTCTTTTCCTGCTTTTGCGTGTTATTGGTCACTTAAAAAGTAATGCTGCTGAGTCTCGTGTTTTGTTCCGAATTTGCCAGCATCTTATCCATCTGTCATGTAATTAACTGGAAAAAGTAATTAATTGGAAAACCTGACTTGTTGAAAGCCCTTTAATTAATGTTCTGAATTTTTTTGTGATGAAACATTCCTCCAGAAAATACAGCTGGTTTTACAATTTTGACACACGAGTTCTCTAATAGGAATGAGACTAAATACAGTGTGTCATCAGGAATTTGCCTGCTTATATCTTCCTGTTGATGCTGTTAAACAGATGGTGGTATCTGTTTTATCAGGGAGAAGTCCATTACTTGAAATAACCTGTTAATCCTAGTAAGTGAATGCTGGTATCTTTAGTTGCACTTAGGGTGGTCACTAAGTGGCAGAAGGATGTATTTCTGTTATACATTAGCACTCGGCATGAGATGGTTTTGTTTTCCTGGGGTTAGAGGCTAAAAGTGTTCTGTGAATAAATCTCTGGTTATAAATAGATGTGTGTATTTGGCTACTTGCGTAGCTCTGAAGGTTTTGGTGATCTTCTTTGATTTGTCTCTTTTTATGACTCTTTGGAAAGAATAATCCTTTTCTCAGAAGTCTTATTTTTGTTCCAATAATGTGTTTATGAACTGATATATGTACGCACATCATACTTTTATCAGTTTTGACATTTTTTCTCTCTAGAGCGCTACTTTATGGTATTTGCAAACAATTTTCCTTTCTGAAAGTGAAGGTTGAGAGTGATACTTAGAACTGGTGTGTTTAAGATCCTGATGCCCGTTTGAAGTGGAATGTTTGTGCAGTTGAATTTTCTGTTGCTATGTTTTGCTGCCAGTGTGTGTTTTTATTCTGGATATAAATATTATAAAGGATAAAACATGAGCCTGAGTCATCTGAAAAAGAATTTGGAAACTTAGTTTAACTCAATGCTCGTAAGTAGAATTTTTTCCTCTTGTGTTGTGTGGAATGTGACATATAAAAATAAATAAATTGTCAGTAATTGTTGAGAACTCCACAGAGCATTTCAAGTATTTTGGTAGTACTGGATTTCTCCCAAAGCAGAGTTAGCTCATCTCAGAAAGCTGGTCTCAGCTGTATCCATAGCTGCCGAATATTGGTGTGAACTTTGGGAGGACTCAGAATCCTGTAGGCTTTGAAATCGGAAACAAAGTATTGATGTGGTATTGGAAGAGATGCATAGGTGCATTAAAAAGACTTCCAGTCAACTTTCTTTCAGGTGGTTAACGAGGCAGCAAAGGGTGGAGTTCTTGGAGTTGAATAATGCTGTTCCTGTCACAGCTGGCAGGGGTCACTGGAAAGCAGTGGACATTATGTTTTTCCAGTTCTTCAAAGTTACATATACTGTCTTCCCAGACTTTTTCTAAATATCGTATCTTTTACTTGTTTCTTTAAGAAAATTTCTACTATAAATAAAAACATAATTTATTTTCCTTTCTTCAGCACCCCTGTGAGTGAGAGTGATGACAGTCACAGGTGGGGTGGTTTGGTTTGTTTTTTTTTTTTTTTTTTTTTTTTGTCCTTTTCATAATAAACAGTGTGCTCTACAGATTCATCACCAAAGTGTTTATCAGAATATTTAGCTAGTCTTACTTAGCTAGGCACTAAACTTGCACAATTACTTTCTTTGTTCGTCTTCTCTCATTTGAGTAACTTTTTTAATCAGTCAAATGTCAAAACCAAATTTGATGGCAATTGAAAGACATTAAGTACCTACACAGTGACAAATATTTAGAAAACTTTTGACAGGTAGTGACGCAAATCAGTAGTTCCACCTGAGGAAAAGCAGTTAGAATTGAGTCCCTTCTTTCTTCAGAAGGAGAGCAACTGCTGGCCAGTCTAAGTGCTAAGCTGTGAGCTGTTGTGGTGTTTACTGTTACTGGCCCAGCCAAATAGTTGGGGCAGTCGGTAGTATGGGTGGGGGTCAGGAAAAAAGTGTTGGGTGAGGTGAAGGACGGTAGGGCGCCACAGGGCACTGGTAAAAGCAGACAGACATAATTGCTTCTGCCCATGGAACAAGGTAGGCCTGTTTTTTTTTCTGTAATGCTTTCTGGTTTTACAAAGGAAATATAACTGTTTTAGGATACCTCTGTCAGAGGTAGTGTTCCTTCTTGTTGTTCAGGGACAGTTGACCACTACTTACTCTAAGACCTGTAGTGGCATGAAAAATAAAAGACTTTGAAAGCTTTAAATATAATGTTTTCTTCCTTGAGTTTACCGTGTTGTTGTTCGTAATGGTCCTTCTTGCTGGGTACAGAGGAAATGGTAACATGACAAAATTATATTCATATTTGTGAGGAGAATATAAGGAGCTTAATAAATTGCTTACAGGGAAAAAAAGAGTTAATAGTAATTAGGGCTATAATATATTACTGTGTAATGTTTGAGTATGGTCTACATGCAATCATAGAATAATTTAGGTTCAAAGGGGTCGCTAGAAGTCATCTGTCTGGTCCAACCTCATCTCAAAACAGGGCCAGCTTCAAAGTTAGAATAAACCTGTACATATATAGAGATACCCATTATGCTGTCAAGAAATTTGGAAATACAGCTTAGGTGTGTGGTAGTTTGTTTTTTTTCAGTTGAGGGGAGGATATTGGAGAGTTCATAGATCTGTTCTCTTTTTCCTTAATTTACATATGTAAAGGGGATTTTTTCCAAATTCACTCCTGCTGGGAATACTCTAAGTGAGACATGTAGTATTCAGTATTTAATTCCTTGTTCATTTGAGGTGGTCTTGGTAGACATACTCCAGAGAGACTAGATGGCTTACTGGAATGAGTCCAAGCATTGGATTGAATGGCTATTTGCAAATACATTTGAGGTTCTCAAAAAATGAAATACAATTGGAAAGTGGGAGAAGAAATTAAAGCAGTATAACATAAAATACGAAGTCATGCAGGCCTTGCATTTTGGAAGTTGGCCAGCGCCAGATGCTTTTGGGGGTTAGGTGGTTGGCAGATGCCAGCCTGGCAGCTAAACACTCTTCGTGTTCAGCTGTCTTAAGGGACAGTTTGTTCTATGCTTACCATGTTGCTCATATGCTTTCCTTGGTATTAGCTACTGGACATTGTGGGGTCAGGTTAGGTAGAGTCTTTGTATGGCCAAATGCAGCCCAGTTATCTCTTCAGACGTTTTCTTGCATCCTGGGTCATGAAGCTTTAGGTTCCCCCAGTTGTGTATTTATTTTTTTTCCTTCTTACTGTTATTGTGTGTTTAAATAGCTGCTTTCTTTTTGAATCTGAGTAAAATCTTGGCTTCAGTGACTTCCTGTGCTACTGAGTTTAACACTCTAATTATATGATGTAATATAATATTTCTCTGTTAAAAGTTTGGCTTTGCTATCCTCTTAGCTCAGTTAATGAATAAAGTTCCCTCTATTATTGGAAACTTGTTTTCCTTATTTTCTGTATATTTCTTAAAGTCTCGTTTAATTTATAATTTCTTATTTTTCTGTTCATGCTCGTCTGTCTCAACAGGAGAGTCCTTCAAGTAGCTGGTATTTCATAGCACTTCCCAGAACACCTTCCCCTCCCCCAGTATTTTAATGTTGTTCTTCAAATAAAATACATGCATTTCAGGTCAGATTGCACAACTGTTCAACAGAGATGTACTGCAGTGTTTTCCTTGTCATTCTTCTTTTATTCAGGTGTCACTGTGCTCTTCTGACTGTAGTATATTGAATGGAAGAGCTCACTGAGCTGATAAATTTGCCTTCTGTACTTGAGATGCCTGATTTTAAAGCTTTGTGTGGTGTAGATAGTTCACTTCTGTTTATGTTGCTTATTCATTTTTAAAGTTGATACAATTCATTATTAAAGTTCATCCATATTGCTAATGTAAGATTAATT